CCAGAGGTCTTTAACTTGAACTACAAGTCCCTTAATCAGAGGACCCAGGGATGAAGGGTCTTAGGGGTTCATAAATGGTTTGATATTAATGACAACTTTATGAAGTTACTTATGTCCATTATTCTGGGTACAGAAACTATAGGTTTCAATAGATTTTCAAAAGCCAACCCAAAAGTTGGGAATCACTGCTCTTCATTTCCTCATAAATGTACTGTGTTCACTTTAAAACTATCTCTCTTTCCCAATAACCTAGGCCTGAAATTTCAGAATTATCTTGAATTCTTTCCTCTTTGGTTGCTGCACCTAATCCCACAAAACTGCCAAGTTCTGCAGCTCTCTCCCATCTCTCTCTTTCTCCCCCTTACTGTGGCCATTATCTCTTACCTTATAAATTACTTAGTCTAAATTACATACCTTATTACCAGTAAACTCTCTCTAAAGCCACAAAACTCTGTCCGTTTTGCATCCTGTTCAAAAACATTTAACTTTCACAGAAAAAATGTTCAAACTCTTTTGACTAATATGAAGAGCTCTAAATAAGTTGGCCTCAATCTGCCTTTCCAAATATTTCTCCCATTATAAGCCTTCATATTTCCTATAGTCCAGGAAGCTGAATTGTGGTTTTCTAAACATACTCTATAGTTGAACAATATCATACCTTTTCCTATATTTCAAAACCTAGTTCTTTCCTTCTACCTTTTTAAGATAATCTCTGAAGCAAAAAGTATTCTAACACTAGCAAAATGTCTGTACCTCTCTTGCAAGCACTTAAAATTTTCTTTTTACTTTACATAAATAGCAATATATATAAAGTAGTCAACCATCTATCAGTTTTCAGGAATAGGAATGAATTAACTAAAAGGCTGGGTATGGAGTTTTTGTTCATGAAAATAAGAAGAGAAATTACAAGTAACATCAAGATCAGTAACCCAGGTACGAAAGGAAAGAGAAAGAAAAACAATTTGCCCAATCTTAAGAGTGGGAATGTGGGCTGCATGTGAATGCATGGTTTCATGAACACAGTAAACTTAATAAGAGTAACATGCTGGCATTATATTATACACTGATATCAACTTCAGATAAACTGAAGTATTAAATAAAATAAAAACCTAGAAAAAAATATGAGAAAAAAAACCTGCTTGTTTTCAAGTAGGAAAACCATAAAAGCAACAGAAAAAAATCATAAAGGAAAAGCTTAACAGCATCAACAAAAAGTTTTAAACATCTGCGTGATTAAAAATAATAAATAAAAAGCCTATCATAAATTTAGAAATATTAAGCATACATATCTGTCATGCCTTTAATACACAGAACTCCTACAAACCTAATAAGAAAAATTAATTCAGAGGCAATACAAATATGAGCTATTAAGATGGGCAAGTCTGATGCTCAAGTTTCCTAAAAGTTCCCAATTCAACAAGAAGATATCAGCTTAAAATGTACTAATATAGAAAATGGATTTTCAAATTATAATACCTATAGATAGACAAAAGTAAACTAAAATGGGCACTCTTAATAGGATGTTGGTTCAAGTATAAATCCATGCTTAAAAATGGACCTTTATTCCCAGTAAATTTATTTCAGGAAATTTATCTTAAAGTGTTCAGAAAGGCAGTCCAATGTTTCCTAACAAAGATATTATCTGCAACACTGTTAATAAGTGTGAAAAGTGAAAAATAAATGTCCAACAATGAATGATTAATAACAGTACATCCACACCATTATGAAATGTAAGACATGCGGCCAGGGAAAAAAAGAAGTATAACTACTAAATGACATGGAAAAATGTCAAACATACCTTGTTAATTAAGAAATAAAAGATTATTCTTTATTTAAAAAGTGTACTTAGAAGACAAGCTGGTAGTATTAACACTGGTAATCATCATTGGATAGTAAAAGTCAGGTGACTAATTTTCTTTAAACTTTTCGGTATTTTTTATGTTGTCTACAAAGAACAGATATTTAATATAAAGTAAAACTTAAAAAAGCACTTGAATGCACCTATTAGGTTTTGTTTTCAAGTAGAATTAGGCAATGAGTAAACTAATACGTTAGAGATAGAATATGGCTGAACTAGGTTCCTATTATATGGAACTCTCCTAACTTCACTGACAAGAGGAACAGTAATTATTACTAACTACACATCAAAATATTTCTCAACAAGAAGTACAGCAGTGAGATATAAGGTGTAATAAACTGAAATCTACTCAAAATCAGAAAAATGGCTAATAGGTACTAAGAGCAAGCTTTTCCTTTCCTGTGAAAAACCTTACCCTTCATTCTAGAATATGAAGTTGTTACTTTCACACCCATGGACTAGCATCTGATTCAGGATAAAGTTGTTGTGTTACTCTAAAGACCATATAAATGTCCCTGTGTAACACAGATCTCTCAGAACCACTATAACAGAGGGTCTTCGGAACTGGCGATTTTGTGTGTCAGAAGTAGACAGTCTTACTAGATGCATGAAATGTCCACACACTAAATGTTATACTCTGACAAATTTTTTAAAGTGAAAAAGGTTTACTCATTTCTTCATTTGTTCGTATAAATATCATTTTGTATAAAAGCCCAAATAAAAAATTATTGTTTTCCTGCGTAAGCCTACAAAAGAATAACTGTTACATAGACAGTACTGACCAATTATGAAGAGCCTCAAGTACAATGAAGCTTCTGTTTGATTTAAACTTCTGTTTATCTTGGTACCATCATCATAAATGTATAATAATGTTCAACTTAATTGAAACAAATTCCTTGATACAGCATCCATGTTACAATAAACGTATTGAATAAAATGAATGGAAGTAAATCACTGCAAGGTTAAATCACTATACAGAACCCATAACTTGAAGTATTTTTATTCTAGAATTTGTAATTCTAAGGAAGTATTATTACTTCAGGTTGAATAATTCCAAGAAGTACAACTTAAATTGTTACCTATTTAATAATGATATTAAAAATACTTCACACAGGAGATTTATCACAAAAAGTGGTTTCCTTTAAAATATAAACTGTATTAATTTTTTTAAAAGCTTGTTATTTTTTATCTACTGCCACCTTTTCATATTCAAAGATAGACAATCTTTAAGACAAAAGGATCATTAGAGGTCATTTGCTCCAACTCTCTCATTTTGTAAATGAGGGAACAGAGAGTTAGAACTACCTTTCTGATGGACACACAGCTAGTTACTAAAACAGCTTCTAATTCAATGCTCTTTCCCAGGTTAATACCTCTGAGAACTAAAATAGCTTACAGCATAATCAGAATAATATAACAGGTCAGCAAGAATTTCAATTATTACACAGTAATCTATTTGCTTTATTAGGTGAACTCATTTGCTTTGTATGAGCTGAATATTTTTTGGATACACTTAGCAATAAAAGTCTAACGTTAAATAACTTTTTCTGATTATGGGACTAACAGCCCAGTATGCTTACACAGACCCCCTCTTCTATAGCTTTTCAATACCACACAATTATTAATGAAAAGGAAGAAGATTACAGGGTTTAATAGTACACAAATATAGATTTTAGTTTATATTTAGCGTGCTTGTTTATATCCCTTATAAGACCTACTGACAGAATTTACACAAAATCCTTTTCTTCCAGGGAGGTTTTTTTGGTTTTTTGTTTTGTTTTGTTTAGTGGCTGGCTGGTATGGGGATCCGAACCCTTGACCTTGGTGTTAGAAGGCTGTCTAACCAACTGAGCAAACTGGCCAGCCCCAAGAAGACAATTTTGTCAAGTTCATGAAAAATGTTTATATTTGTGAATAGGCTTTCAGGATAATAAAGAACAGACTATCTGGCAAATAAGAAACAGCAGATGCCGTTCTCATTTACGTAAATGCCAATACATTTTTGTTGAACACAATACTAACAATACTCCCAGATTCCCAGTTTTTCTAGTAGTAAGTTAGGGTCCACATTTCCATATATTTTACTAAGATAAGAAAAAACTATTATAATAATGCATCAGAAAACCAATTAATTTATTTTTCATTTCCTGTCAAAAGAGATAATACTGTGGTAATAGTCCAATCACCATTTCTCAAGCTTCTAAAGGGCTGTGCAGCAAGGAGGAGCAGACCCAGTGGGGAGTGTGGTGGGTAGAGGGCAGAGATGGGTAAGAGAGAGACAGAAGAAAGGAAGCATGAGAACACAGGTTTCCAAAAAATTTCTAACGAGATGCACCCTTCCCAAACCACTTTCTCTGTCTTATCTAAGATCCCTAAATATGAACTCTAATCATTTTTATTGTCTTAGAAATAACAGTAAAATGTCAAAAGTGCTCAGAATGGTACACTGTACGTTAGTAAAACTTAGCTATGATTTTTATTAAAATAGTATCTTATTATATTATGGGAAAGTTTCCCCATGGAACATTAATCTTTCTATGAGAGACAATGATATGCCAGGAGAGTAGCTGGCACCCATTAACAACTCAAATAACGTGTTCCTACTAACACAGCTCACCCAACATAAATACGAGGGTACTTCGAAAAAGTTCATGGAAAGATCTGTATTATCTTTTAATTTTATTTTTACACGAACTTTTTGAAGTACTCTCATATTAGCTGTACAGACTTCTATGCACTCATTAGTTGCTTATAATAAATACCTGCTCTTCTTCCCCTCTCCAAAAAGAGAGCTTCCATCACCCTACTGATGTTGTGTCTATATTCTTCCCTTATAATAGAAAGATTCAAAAGTTGACTACTACTTTTGAAAGGTAGGTCACTAATTGAGTTTGCTCCTCCTCCCACAATGCTTCCTTCACAAAAATAAACAGGCTTTCCCAGTTAAGGATTTGAGTAATGTCTATGTTTGTGTATTATACTACATTTAATGAATTACAAATTATTTTCATATCTTGTGGTTAAATAAAATTTTTAACAAACAATAACCCATTCTTTATTAATATAAACATTATAATAATTTACAATTAAGCTGAAAAGGGGGGCTGAGGCCCAAATCTAAGATTCAGAAATTATTACTTACTGCTGGTACCAGTAATTTCTTCACTTCTTCAACTGCTCTCTTCAGTTTGATTTCTGCTCTGTTCTGAGCATCTTCCACAGTGATTAGTACATGTAAATCTTCATTAAGATGCTCCCAATTGGGCTTGCCTCTATTTTGCTCCTCCTAAAAAGTTTACAAAGTATATTACTATAAATTTTTCTCTTTAAAGAGAAATTACACTTTCATAATACTAACCTGTTGCCAACTACTTAAGTTATGTTTATTTTATTTTTCTATGATGACACTACAAACCTTTTGAATTATTTTCCTTCCCTCCCCTCTAAAAAACCCTGGCTGTGAGACTACTGGACCAAATGATACTTAATTCAACAAATATTGTCGAACACCTACTATGCACCAGGCATGGAGCCAGATGGCCAAGAATACAACAGTGATGAGTCAACCATAATCCCTGCAGTGCTCCTATGTACAAAGAAACTTACATATGATGTCACCGTTAAATTATCATGAAAATCACTGAGAAGCATGTTATTATTTCTGTATTTTACTTATGAGTAAAGAGAAGATCACTAAGGTTAAATTACTTCTCAAAGTCACACAGCTAATAAACTGTCAATTTAGGAGCTGAATCAGTCTTCATTCTCAAATTCAGCGATCTGCTTTTAATAACATTGGTTGTATTCAGCATAAGGAAAGTATTTTGCAAATGGACACTACTGTGTAACAGAAGTGCTACTTGTTTTAAGTATTTCAAGTATGGAGTAATTATGGAAACACCTCATTTTAATCACAAGAAGTAAGTGTAAGAATAGCTTTAACTATATTGCCATCAGCACGTACTTTTAAAAAATGGACTGTAAGGTCACTCTTTAATTATATCAAGTCATAAATACGTATCATTTCTTTGTTTTCTAATCACCTAGAAAGGAATATCCCCCTGTTGAAAACTTTGTCAAGCTACAGAGAGGTTTAGAAGTAGAGTTGGCCATATTTCTCTTTCACCTAAGATATAATAATTTCAGAATTTCAGAGCGGCTTCTTGTTTGAATTTTTAGAGGTAATATATAAATACATGTAGAAATAATTTATAACATATGAATTAAAAATTTTAAACTATTGAAAAAATAAAATATATACTTATAAATATGAGATATCAGACAAAGCACATAATCCTATCACTGGCCATCTATGTTTCCAAAAAGTGAACTGAGTCAGCACAGTGTCCTCACAATGGCACCATGGGATACAGTGCCAAGTAAACTACTAGCTCAAACACTTGACTGTTTTAACACCAGATCACAACACATTCCTTTTGATGATGTCATATCTTTGCAAAGCTAGGTTTTCTGCGGTTGCTATAACAGCAACTCCATGCAAAAACCAACACTGAACAAGAGGGTGGCATTGTCCAATCTGATTCTAAGGTTTGAGAATCTGAACAGTGCACAAGAAGACAGATGCCATTATTAAATAACGTGGTTATGTACAAATAAAATTAATTGTAAATTTTTTCAACTTAAGATGTTTTGATATAAATACAAAGGTACCTCAAAAAAAAATTCATGGAAAGATTCATATTATCTTTTAATTCTACTTTTCCACAAACTTTCTGAAGTACCCTAAGTTGTTTGGGAAATAAATATTTGATAGATAGAACTATAAGCTATTTTCTTTCACCTGGGGGCACCATGAAAAGAAACTAATGAGTCAATGAATTGAGATATTGGGAACCTCAGGGTTATTGGTATGGCAAATAATATAAAGTGTGTATAAATACCTCTACTGTGGCAAGAAAAATCAATTTTTAAATCCAAATTTTAATTACGGTGAAAAAAGCTAACAATATTTTCCTACCAAAATTTGTATTTTTATCTTTTTTTGGTAGACAGACCTATGAATTTGGTGAACCAGAAAGTGTGCTTATTTGCCTAAATCTGTACATATAAATAAGGAACTTCTATTTCCAGCCAAGACGAAGTAACGGGAACCAGATTCACTCTACCGATTATAACAACCAAGAAACAGGCAAAATAAACAAAACAACAATTTCAAGCCACTGGACATCAGGCAAGTAAAGACAATGATGGCGACGAGATGGGAAAAATGAGGTAAGCCTATGACTGCCCCAACACACTGGCTTGACAGTCCCCAGGACAACTTCCTGAGTTGAGGAGACTAAGGTGAGAGTCCAGGGAAACTAAAGCAGCTAGATTCACAGGTTAAGAGTCCTGAAGAGAGCTGCACACAAAGAACTCCAGAGAATTGCAAAGGGCCCACTCAAGCATTTGGCTGAATACTGACCAGTGTATGCTTGGGAGGAAACTCCAGAGGCTCAAGAACAAACCACCCCCCAAAGATTCCAGGTTCTCACACAGAGCCAGCAAGACTTGACAATTCACAAACAGTGGGTAAAGTACACAGAAGGGTTCTGAATACTGACCAGTGTATGCTTGGGAGGAAACTCCAGAGGCTCAAGAACAAACCACCCCCAAAGATTCCAGGTTCTCACACAGAGCCAGCAAGACTTGACAATTCACAAACAGTGGGTAAAGTACACAGAAGGGTCTTACCTCAGTAGTGGGAAATAATTCAATCTAGTCTGAACCAGTTAGCTCAGCTGGTTACAGCGCACTTTTATAACACCAAAGTCAAGTGTTCAGATCCCGTACAGGCCGGCCACTAAAAACAATCTAAACCTAGTCTGAGCACTGTTCTAGTACTGCCTAAATATATTTTAAAAGCAAGACCTAAAAAAATCAAATTGTTTCCAAATAGCTTCATTGTGTCCCAGAACAAAGTTCAAGGGTATTTATAAGAATACCAAAATATCCATCCAACATGGTAAAATTCACACTATCTGGCTTCCAATCTGAAATTCCAATCCAAAATTAACAGGCACTCAAAAAAGCAGGAAAATGCAACACATACCCCCCCCCTCCCAAGTAAAATAAAACCCAATTGAAACCAACCTACAAGTGACACAGATGTTATAATCAGTAGCCAGACATGAAAAGCTATCATACATGTAATGCATGTGAGAGTCAGACACTAATACCTACAGATACTAATACAAAAATGATGGAGGAACATTTAAAATACAAAATATTTCAGAAAAACTTAAGATTAAAAACTAAAATTGTAACTTTCCACAGAAACTTTTACACATAGAAAAGACAAAAGCCAGAGGATTTAAAAAGAAGATATTATTTGCATGACAGGAACAGAGAACAAAGCTGCAGTATAATTTGCCATTGTGCTTTAATGAAGGAATACATTTGAGTTGTAAAACACTTTGGCAAATACATACTCTTAATTCAGTAACTTAAATGACAGTTAAAAATACAAAAAATAAAAAGTTGCACTTATCCTAATGTTTGCTTTAAAATATATTTGCTTACAGTTTTAAAAAGTTAATAGAACAAAAACTTTCAAAGATGGTGAAATGAATGGAATCCTGTACTTTCACTCCCTCCTAAAATTCTTCTAAAACACTGTGTAGCTTAAAATGGACAAACTCATAAAAAAGAAGAAAATGGAAAAGGAAACAAAAATTCAGGAACTTTCAGGTAAGTAAGTAGCATAGACTTAGCAGATTCCAGATGAGAAGGAAACCAATTTCAGAGCAGACACCACCCCGCAACCCTCAAAAAAAAGCCTGAAGAAATTGGCAGCAGTGGAAATGGGAGTGAGGATTGTGCTGAGACTGGAGGACTGGCTGAATTCTCATTGAAAAGAAGCTGAATCCCAACATTCCCTGTCCCCAGATAGCTAGCTATCGAACACTAATTCCCAGCAGAAGACAAGAAATTTATTCCTAAACAAAGTAAAACACGTTTTGGAACTGGGTTATGAGGGACAGTTGATGGGATAATGTACGCACTGAAGGCTGAGCTGTCCAGCCATCTCCCCCACTCCACACTCTGGGGGCAGGACATTGAGTGACCCTTCTGTGGAGAGAATGACCAGCCCAACAGACAGACAAAAAACAGCCTGAAGAAAAGCAACCACTGAGCAGGGAGAGGAAAAATTAAAATATCTTCAAAGAGTTAAGAGAAGATACTACCTCCCTGAAACTAGTAAAGAATGCTATTTTTAAAAATTCCAAACATAAAAAGGAACTCAAAGAAATGATCAAGTTTTTGCTATGATGGATGCTAATTACCCTGATTAGATCATCACACATTGTATACATGTACTGAAATATAACTCTTTGCCCCAAAATATGTGCAGTGTTTCGATAAAAATTTTTTTTTAAATTTTAAAAATATGAAAGAAATGAAAAACTTGATAGAAAGGTTGTAAGATAAAAATTGAGGAATTCTCCTTTCAAGTAGCAGAAAAGACAGAGATGGAAAATGGTATAGAATCATATATAAATTAGAGGACTAGTCCAAGAGATTCAGAAGGTGAATGACAGAAGAAAGTGTTGGGAGAAAAATTATCAACATAATACTTACTTAAAAAAAACAAACTGAAGGACATAAGCTTCCAGATTAAAAGGGCCCACTGAGTTCTCACCACAATGAATGAATAAAAAACTTCAAAATCAACTAGTAGCAGTGTAAGCATAAAACGTAGCAATAAAGAGCAAATTCCAAAGCATCACTTTAAATGAGCAGGAAGTGACTATGGGTGGTGGTTGTGGTTAGATAGCAGAGGGGGAGAGCAGAAACCCTGTTTTCCACATAAAACCTTATAAAATCTTTGATCTATGTGCTTATCAAACTTCATTTTTAAAAAGGTCTTCAAATCATTCTACCCAGAAGCCACATTTATCTTACTGTAGTCCATTCCACCTCAAGAAGATGTAACATTAAGTAAATTCCTTCAACAGCGAGTTTTGAGTCTAGTAATTATTCAATACAAAAGTAATTTCTCCCTGTGTTCTCATTCTGTTTCTAAAACAGATAATAAAAACAATCTGGGATTGGCAGATATTTATAGAAAAATCAATAAAACATGTCAAGAAAGGTTTATTTTTAGCCGTAAATTAAGTAAATAAGTGAGAAATAGATATAATTATAGGATGCTTACTTCTGAATCCCCAAATATTCACATTAAGATCCCACTCCCCAGATTTCTCACTTCAATAAGTAATTCAGAACAAAGAAAAGGTTGAAATAAAACAGAAGGAATGACAAAATGGATACACACCAAAAATG